AATGTAGACACTCGCTAAAAGTTAAAAATAATCAACTAAAAGTTATTATTTTTTATATTATGCAGTATCCATCTCTTTAATAATAAGTAAGCTATAAGTTAATTATTATATTTTTTGGAAAATATCATACAGGGTGTTTTCTATGTCCCGTTGAAAATAGCGATTTTAAAAGTTTAAAATCTTGTTTTTCTTCAATGGAATACCCTATATATTTTTGCATAATTGGATAGAATAAGTAATTACCTTTCATTTTATATATATATGTCCTATACCTAAACCTAACAGAAAAAAAAATATTCGCATTTTTCACAATTAGTAGCTTTTTTCCAATTACCTTAGTTAAATTTTCATTATTCAAATAAATAAATTTCAATAACAACAAATAAAAATGCTTTTATATATAAATATATATTACTTTAATAATTACCATACGCGCAAAGCTACTAATTTTGTAAAATGCGAATATTTTTTTTAGGTGATCCACGTAAGGTGACCCATATACTTATCTCAGAAACTACTGGAGTCACAAAAAATTTGTAAGAAACAAATATTCACGAAGTAAAAAATATTTTTAAAATATTTTATTTTCATTTATACAGGGTGTTCGGTTTTCCTTGGGACGATACCAACTTTCTTATTTTCAATGGAACACCCTATATTTTTTTGCATTTTTGGATTCTACACACTCTTTTAGGTATACTTTGTAAATATATTAATTAAGAAAATGTTAATACTTTTTGAGTAAAATGAGGATTTATTAAAATTTCTCTAAATGTAGACATTCGCTAAAAGTTAAAAATAACCAACTAAAAGTTATTATTTTTTATATTATGTAGCATTCATCTCTTTAATAATAAGTAAGCTATAAGTTAATTAATTTATTTTTTGGAAAATATTATTCAGGGTGTTTTCTTTGAATAATGAAAATTTAACTAAGGTAATTGGAAAAAAGCTACTAATTGTGAAAAATGCGAATATTTTTTTTTCTGTTAGGTTTAGGTATAGGACATATATATATAAAATGAAAGGTAATTACTTATTCTATCCAATTATGCAAAAATATATAGGGTGTTCCATTGAAGAAAAACAAGATTTTAAACTTTTAAAATCGCTATTTTCAACGGGACATAGAAAACACCCTGTATGATATTTTCCAAAAAATATAATAATTAACTTATAGCTTACTTATTATTTAAGAGATGGATACTAAATAATATAAAAAATAATAACTTTTAGTTGGTTATTTTTAACTTTTAGCGAGTGTCTACATTTAGAGAAATTTTAATAAATCTTAATTTTCCTCAAAAAGTATTAACATTTTCTTAATTAATATATTTACAAAGTATACCTAAAAGAGTGGGAAGAATCCAAAAATGCAAAAAAATACAGGGTGTTCCATTGAAAATAAGAAAGTTGGTATCGTCCCAAGGAAAACCGAACACCCTGTATAAATGAAAATATAATATTTTAAAAATATTTTTTACTTCGTGAATATTTGTTCCTTACAAATTTTTTGTGACTCCAGTAGTTTCTGAGATAAGTATATGGGTCACCTTACGTGGACCACCCTGTACATAATATTACCCACTGCCTCGCGATAAGGAAAATCGCCGATGTTCGATTTAGACTTATCGAAATTCCTACCGGTTGCTATTGGGGTACTAACTGGACTTGCTTCCAGCATATTAAACCGCTCTAAAACCTTCTGTGAGTACCTTTGTTGACTGGCAAATATTCCATTTTTAGTTTGAGTAATTTCTATTCCCAAAAAATTGCTCACATTCGCCGTTGTTGTAGCTTCAAACTTTGTTTTTAACTGATTTAACAGCCCCACAGCTTCATCACTATTTGACGCAGCTATCACTCCATCATCAACATACAACACCACTAAAAGTCTTTCATTTTTCGATCCTTTAAAAACAAACACGGATCCGAAGCACTTTCTTTTAAATTGCAGTCCTTTAATTCAGTAAAATGTTTGTTCCAACACCTCGGAGCTTCATTTAACCCGTATAAACTTTTTATTAATTTACACACCTTTTGTGTCCCGTCTGTATAGCCTTCTGGTTGATGCATGTATACCTCTTCACTTAATGTCCCGTATAAAAATGCAGTCTTTATATCAAATTGGAATAAATGCATTCCTTCGCATGCCACGAAACTTAACACTGATCTAACCGTATCAAACCGCACGACTGGACTAAATGTCTCTGTAAAGTCAATTCGTAGCAACACATTCCTCCTTTTTAAATATGACTTCCCGACTAATAATTACATCTCTGATTTCTGGTACCCATATCCTATATCCACTATTACTTTCGTGATACCCAACAAAATAACCCTTTATGGATTTTTTATCCAATTTTCGTCTCTTTTCTTTAGGTATGTGTACAAAGCATTCAGTATCAAAGACTTTGTAGTCACTCATGTAAGCTTGTTTTCCATACCAAAGCTTGTATGGAGCTTTCCCATTCACTTTTGAAGGTCCCGTTTTATTTATTACATAAACGGTGGTGTTTACAGCCTCCGTTCATAAAAATTTGAATGCAGCATCGACCTAGCGGCTTTAACAATTGTCCTATTGTCTTTCTCTACCACACCATTTTGTACCGTCATCGCATGCTTTATTCCTTTCTCCCCCAGGATTTCAGTCACAATTTTATTATTGTACTCTTTACCGTTATCAGAGTTAATTGTTTTAATTTCAGTCCCAAAACGCGTTTTTACTTCCGCACAAAAATGTTCTAATTTTGTAGCCACTTCCGATTTTTCGCGAATAAAGTAAACACTTCGAAATGAGCTATAATGATCTTTAAACAAAACATAATATTTATTTTTACCTAATGATTCTACACTCATTGGCCCACAAACGTCAGAATACACCAACTCCCGTGAGTCCGATGCTTTATTCTTCCTTTCTTTAAAACTTTGACGATGCTGTTTACCGTACACACATCTGTCACACAAATCATTGTCTATCACCGCATTTATATGTTGTCCTTTTAAATACGACAGCACATACTTATAATTTTGATGTGCAAGTCTCTCATGCCACAGCTGCAAGGAATAATTACCTGTAGCACAATTTTATATAAATTGTCCACTTCTACGCCGATTGCGACAGTTTTTTCATTTCTTAAAAACTGGCACTTTTTACCATTGTCTTTTACAATAAAATCAACCCCCTTTTTAGCAGCCATTTTCACAGAAAAAAGGTTTTGAGACATTTTTGGTGTAAATAACACATCATGCAAGAAACCTGGCAGCCATTTGCCTTCGGCATACGTTTCTATTTAAATTTTGCCTCGACCTAACGCAGGCACTTTTTCGCCGTTTCCAACAGAAATCATTAGAGGCTCATTAAAATTCTCGTACTCACAAAAATAGTCCCGTTGATTTGCCATGTGTTCAGACGCACCTGAATCTATGATTCATTTATACACACTATTTGGTGCACTATGTCCCATAAATGCTTGTGAAATTCGCGAACGTTTTTGATAAATGTTCCTTAGAACTGCACACAAAACATCCTGGACACTCACTTTTCTTATCATTCTGTTTTCCACACAGAAAACACCCAAACTTTTTCGGTTTTTGTTGTTTGAACTGCTTACTAGAACCACTACCTTTTTGATGTGTCTTTCTCGAGAAAAACGCAGCTGAAGTTTCAGTGTCATTTTCTTCATTGCCATTTATTCTCAATTCTTCAGTTAATAAACGAGATGTCAGATTTTCTAGTGTTCTTTTGTTAATTTCTGTTGAATCCCATTGAAACAAGAGCTTTCATTTGATTCGCTTCGTTCTAGCTTGGAAATATGTTGCGCAATGCTACCTTCAGGTTCCCACTGGAATTCGAAGAACTGCTTTTGCACCAAAGAGAGGCTTTCTTCCGATTTCATTTCGTACACATTGTGCAACTTCGTCCACATATCCTCAGCAATTTCGCAATTTAGCAACAACTGTAACGGTTTTGACTCTACAGACGTCACTATCATAGATTTTGCGGCTCTGTTTGCTTTGTTCCATGACTTTAACTTTGTTTCATAATCTTCTGCCTGATGATCCGTTGGCTTCACTATAACTCCATCACAGACCTCCAAAGCTTCCATACTATCAATTAACATTTTTATTACAAATTGCCATTGTTGCCAATTTTCGGAACCTCTAAGTTTTTTATCCTTAGACGATCTATCCATGTCAAAATCCATTTTTAAATTTCAACACCACTGTTAACTAACTTTCACTAAAGTCCAATTAACGCGACAAATTGCAACACGCACTCACTTATTCTTAATAGCAAACCCGCAGCAACCCCTTAGCACATTGGGCCCATAACCTGTTGTTATTTTCGATGAGGTTGCAATGAGTTATTTATTAAAAGGTAAAGTTTATTTATAATAAAATGTATAAAAGCGACTTGACTCTATGCTCGGTGCAGGCCAACTGTTTTACAAAAAGGTCCTTATTTAGTTAGAATACTGTCTTACTCTAAAGTGGCACTTGTGTGCATAAAACCATCTGTGAAAGGTTTTATAACACTTGTTTAACTACTATCTTATTTAACTGAGAGTTTTCTATAAGTATTATTGACATGTAAAGAACTGCAATTAATCTTAACAAAAATGTTTGAAAAAAATCCGTCAAAAACTGTTTTCTGAATAACTTTTGTAATGTTTGATATTTTTTAAATATTTTGGTATCATTAAGTACAAAAAAACAATTATTTTTTTCTGTATTCCATGAAGTCACGAAAAACGCGATCCGTTTACGAATTCTCACCCATCCATGAAATTCACAATTATTATAAAATAAATAATAAATGTGTCCTAATTATTTAGGACTTTGGAGTGTTTTTCATAATTATCCCTAAATTTTGGTCCTCTTCTTGCAGAGAAGCTAAATTTTTTGACATTCATTTAAAAGCTTAAACTAACAGAAATTTGGCGGATCCTTTCTAAATTCAAAATCAATTTTTGCCTGCGAGAAAATAGAAAGAGTACATTTAATCTTTACATGCTATAAAATCTACCCCACCTTTGTGACGCGTATAGAAGACGGCTCAGAATCGGTAGCCAACGGACAGTGCCGAGCTTCTAACTCGTAGTCGATACTTTAGGAATTGCCCAGTAAGTAAATGCCAGGTGTCGGCGTCGTTTTAGAGAACGCGCGTCTATTAACTTATAAACACTGACTTGCAGACAAGACATGTTGTTTCGTCAGTGCAGAACTAACCATTGCATGCAAGGATTTATCTTATAATGGTGGCAGCTAAGTCATGCCCGTCGGCACAGGAATACAATTGGAACCACGCGCCAAGAGGTGCAAACTTTGCGACGGTAATCAGCTCTTCTATAGTTGTTTGTTTTTTAAGCTTTTAAATGGATGCCTTATTAACAGATAACTAATTTTGTGAATTTTCTTTTTTAATATATATTACAATAGTACAATAATACAATAAAAGTACAATACTAGTACAATATTTTGATTTGTTACTTAGATTAATTTATTTGTGTGAAGATGTATGTATAATAAACTAAGCAACAAAAATAACGCACCACTCCTGAATTTAATTTTTTTTAATGTACGATATCAGCTTAAAATTCTAAATGAATTTAACAAAACATATTGATTTAAAGATTAAAAAATAGATTTAGTTATAAAAACAATGGAAATGTTTTTTCAATTGTAAAAGGAAATGTATTATTAGGTTGAAACTATTAACATTTGTCTACCTCTTCTTGGACGATTTGAATTAAAACGGGTTTATTTATATTCATATCATAAATGCTGCAATCCAAATAGATTATATTAGGTACATAGTGGAAGACGATTTTCCCCCATGAAAAAACAGATTTTAAAAATAAAGTTGATAAAAACGTACCTGTGTCTCACCGTTTCACGAAATCACGTCATTTAAATTTTTTATACAGCCATTCTTATTATTTTAACCTAGGTATACAGATTTTTAATTCTCTATTTTGTTGTAAATCATTTTTGTTCTTCAAATAATGTATGTTTTTAAATAATATAAAAAATATACTTAAAGAAAATAATACTTTTAATTTTTTTAGGTTTTAATTTTTGATTTGTTAAAAAAAAAACAAAAGATTTGTTTATATCTTATACTAAATAAATGTTGGAAACAAATCTTGATCTTTTAGTTTGACGATTGCTTTAGAAACTATAGTGGTATCATAACCTAAAAAACACCACTTGATATACAGGGTGTTTCACAGTCGAGGTCCATTGGAAGTTTCTGAGGAACGGAAAAATATATCGATTTAAAATTTAAAGGCGTATATAAATATTTATATATATATATATATATATATATATATAAATATTTATATATATATATATATATATATATATAATATATATATATTAAAAATAAAATATTTTAAACAAAATGCAAATTCTGGTTTGACCGGAAGTGACATCAACTTTGTTATTTCAAATAGAACACCCCCATATATTTTTACATTTTTAAATTCTACATAAAATTCTGAGTAAAATTACTCATGTCCTATACCTAAAGTGAATAGTTTTCGAATTATTATTTTTTTTTCGTTAAAATTGGACAAATGCGGGTCAATCAAAAATAGCCTACAACTTTTTGCTATTAGGTTTACGGATATGGGGGTGAAATTTTTTGGAATCGTATAACATTGTTTAAAAGATTCCATGTCAATTCTTTTACATTTTTTAACCAATTACCCGAGAAAACCCAGGACAAATTGGGCTAACTTGAAACGTATGTTTTTACCTATTAGATTAAATCAAATAGCAAATTAAAAAACATTTCGATTATTGTAACTATTCCCTATTTTTAAAGTTAATAATTTCAGAAATATTTAAATATTATTTTGTATCAAGAAATCAGTGACGGGTCAGTTGAGGGTATCTGTGGTTACCACTTAATCTGCCATTGTTCAAAATTTAATGGTGTCAATTTTTCAGGTTGTTATAAACAATTTGTTGACTAATTAAATTGCGGATAAAAAAGCAGTCAATGAATTTTAAAAAAACATTGACAAGCCAAACGTATTTAAAAGTAATACAAACAGTATTTGCTTATTTTGAAAAAAAAATCAACAAAGCTGTAGAATGTCAAGACAATAAAATAAAAAAATTATTTTATGAAATATTTTAATAAAAAAATAATGCGTAACTGAACAATTTAATAAACAATTTGTATTACTAATTTATTACTAAATGTTCAAAGTGTCCTAAATTTACATTTAAGCATTTCCTGATTCTTACTTCTACATTAGACGTTGCTCTTCTTGACTATTCTGGGTCTAATATTGGAGATTGTTAAATATATCTAAAATTATTAAATTTATTTATATGGAATAATTACATTAATCGAAAAGTTTTTTAATTTTTTATTTTATTATGTAAAAACATACAACATATATGGAACGCCAAAGTATTTTTTAATCGTCAATTAAAAATATCACATTTGAATTTCCGATATCACAAGTTCAATTTCTGATATCGAAAATGTCTTAAAAAATTAAATACTTACTTATTAAATAAAAATATATTTTTTCTAATCCATATTATTGTAATTCAAACAATTAAGAAATAACATTATAATTTTAAGTTTATTTAAATTATTTATCCGGGTATATTATATAATTATGGAGCGCAAAAGTATTTTTTAATCAAGAATTTTTGTTGTTACTCCAACTACTAGTCATATTTTTAATTGTGTCAAATATTTTAAACAATATTAATAATTTAACTAAACTTAAAAATAATGTGGAATTAAATATAACAAAGTGACACTACAATTCAGTTGAATTTTAAATTCAAATTCATATTTTAATTCACGTGAATTTTTTATATCAAAGTAACCAGAAAATTTAAGTGAATTTTTAATTCAAACTGATATTTTTAATTCACGTGAATTATAATTATCAACTTGAATTCTTAATTTCACTTATTTTCAACTTAAAGATAATGTAGAATTAAAAATATTAAAGTGAACCTAAGAATTATTTGATATTTTTAAATCAAAGTGATATTTTTAACTGTTGGGCACCCCTGGCGATGTTGACGATTCAATTTATCTACTTTATTTTGCGAAACTGTTTGTTTAAAGAATACCATTTTTTTATTAATAATTTTATTCCAAACAAATCAAACAAAATACTGAGTTATCTGGACTATAAAGATATAAGCTATATCACCTTCTTCTTTCACCTGGCATGGTAGTTCATAAGAAAGGTTAAAATAGAATCTGCAGTAAAAATTTATTGATAAAATGTTCCCGTCGCTTTTTATCAAATAATTGTTTAGTCATCAATTAATATATATTCGAAAAAAAAAAATTATTTGATAAAAAAAAAAAATTTGATGAAAAAAATAATTATATCACCTTCTTCCTTCACCTGGCATGGTAGTTCATAAGAAAGGTTGAAATAGAATCTGCAGTAAAAATTTATTGATAAGATGTGCCCGTCGCTTTTTATCAAATAATTGTTTAGTCATCAATTATTATATATTCGAAAAAAAAAATAATTTGGTAAATAACTTTAATTTTGACACAAATGGCGCATACTTACACATTTAGTGAGCTCCAAAACTAGTTTGCCACCGATTTCCTTTTAATTTCGTAAATCGTGGTGCATTCCTGCTTTTAGCGATTGTATAAAGGCATTAGTTCTCTGTTGCATTAATACTTCAACAAATATTATGAACACTTTAACCACATTTAACCACAGCTTTAAGCTTTGCTTTAACGGTAAAGTACTGAGTAATGAGGCTGTTATTAACAATTTTGTTGCAAATAAGGACAGAAGAATGGACTTTACGTTTACGCAATTCACAATGATAAAATATAAATTATCATTTTGTCCTTTCTTTGATACATACATATTTTAATGCTTAATCTGATACTTTTTATTGTTTTTAAAGAGCTTAAAAAAGTAATAATAGTCGTGCAAGCCACAAAAAATTCTCTGCCGTTTTTTTAAATTTGTAAACCTCCTTAATTATAGATCACGAGCCGCCACTGACTATAGTGCAAAAGTAAATATAGTGTTAAACGCCGTCTACGTATTCTGCATAAAATGCTTAGTTTTAGTTTAAAGTTGTAGGTTAGACTAGACATTGTAATAATTAAAACACTATGTCACCTAGCACATTTATTTATTTATCTAATATCAAGATTAATGCCGTCTCTCAATATTTTTTTTAAACATTTCTAAAATTAAGGTAAAAAAATTAGTTGGTTACATTTAATTACATTTAATTTAATCTCCCCCATAATGTCAAGCTTCACTGGGTGCCGAAAAAAGCCGCACTAACGCGATAGATATTTTGTGACAGTTTGTTTTTGTTTTATAACGTCATTAGTTAATTGTTCTTAATAAATTGTCTTTAAACATTAGAATTTTAAAAATATTTAAATACCTTAATAATATTACTACTCGAAAGCATTTTTTATACTTATGGTAACTTATATAGTGTATTTCGAAACCTAAGCTTTAAGTCAAAAAATTAAAATTAAGTTCTTAAAAAGTGCAAAATATTACATTAAATTATAGAAATAAAACTATAATAAACCAAAGTATACCATATTCCAGCAAACGTACAATTATAATAATATATAATACTTTATGTAGGCAATAACTAATATTGAACAAAAGTGACGCTGGCGTTTTAATGTGATGGCATCTAAGACGTAATCTAAAAATACACATTCTCGACACACATTCCCTTACCGCGTCCGACAAAATCGTGATTATATCCAAATATATATTTTAAATAATTTTATATTTGTTTTTTACCACTTGTATGGAACGCCGTTATAGTATTTCTTAACATAGGACTCCGTATACCATTTAAATTAAATTAATTTAAATGGTGCAGGCGAAAGGAAATTTTCGTTTTAAATTTTATATTTGTTTTTTACCACTTGTATGGAACGCCGTTATAGTATTTCTTAACATAGGACTCCGTATACCATTTAAATTAAATTAATTTAAATGGTGCAGGCGAAAGGAAATTTTCGTTTTAAACTAAAATAAGAATTCCCATTAATAGAATACATATAAAAATGTTGTACGAGGTAATTGTAAATTAATTTATTTTGGATAAATAATTTTTTTTATTAACAATTTCAACAGTGTATTAATTTGTTTTGTAGGTACTTTTATTCCTCTGCTTCATGAATTTACATGTTGCATGTTACAATTTCTTTGGTATTCGTATTTTTATTCTACTTTAATTTCAATTTAATTGATACACAGGGTGTGTGCACTAATATTCATTATCGAAACTGGCGCCATCTAGTGATGCCCAGGCGTACTAGTGGTAGTTCATC